TTGGCACAGGATAGAGCAGGGTTTAGGGCTGTTGTACGTAGGGTCGCTATGAGTCGCAAACGACTCCATGGCACATAACAACAACATAAAATAAATTAGCGAGGGTGTCCCTCGGAGGCAAGGATGGTAAAACTTCATCCCACAAACTCTGAGTAAATTGTTGGAAGGGAACAATCACTGAAAAAAGACATCATGCTGAGAAAGTTTGAGGTTTAGAGAAAGAGAGGAAGACCTCTAACATGGTGGATTGACGCAGAGACTGTAGCAATAAGTTGGAGTATATTAGTGAAGGTGAGGACAGTACAGAATAAGGCAAGGTTCAGATCTGTTGTTTATAGGGTCACTATGACTGTAGTTGACTCGAAGACACCCAACAACAACATGGCCCTCCACTGTAAGTTTCTTGTCTTCACCAACAGATGCAACCTCTTCTTTATCACACTCTACCTTTGGTTTATGTACCATTCCTGTGAGTGGGTTTGGATTTGCCAAGAGCAAGTGCCATCTCCGAGCTACTCTGCCATCTTCCAGAAGCTCTGGGATGTGCACATTTTGGGGTGCAACCAGATTACCAGCTAGAGTGGGTATAAATAGCCATCTCTGTAAGTTGCCTAAAGATGTCTCAGAAGACTGCCTGAAGTCTCCAGCAACTTGTATTTTTTTTTTCTCATAACAAATTTGTACTTACTTTTATCATGTATACTTCTGTACGCTGACTCTGCATTTGCACTTTTTAATTCTTTTTCTTGAATTAAATCCTCTAAATTGTGTATATTTCAAACTCCACAAACCTTTCATCTGCCTTTAAATGCCATATATGGCAGAACTACTATAAAGTTATTTCATTGTTCCTCTTTCTTGTTTTCTCATTATATTAGAGAATTCCCTAGACAGAATAGCCAAAATCTTAAATGAGTTTCCAGTTTAAATGTTTCATCGTGACTTTAAACATCATCTTTTACAGATCACTTATAATTGGACAGTATTTTTAAATCCAAGAAGAAATGAGCACCTTGTAATAAGCAGGACATTTAAAATACAGAGCAGGTGAGTTCTCAAATGTGTGAGTCTTTGGGCCAAAGAAAATGTTAACAAGTTTTCTTTAAACACATAATTTTTCTAATTTATTTTTTCAAGTTTAATTTTTTTATTTTTATTTTTTATTGCGATTTTAATGAAAGTTTATAGACTTTGGATTTCCATTCATTCATTGTTGCACCTTTTCCTCCCTGCCCACTCCTCCCCCATCTCTCAGGCTTGGACTCTTAGAGGACTACTCCAGTTTAATGATGTCACTAACTATGATTTATATGTTTCTAGTTTGTGGCATATTATTACTGTGCAAAGATCGGAGTTTAAATAGCTATCTTTGCTTTGGTCAGCATGTAAAGTAGCCAACTATGTGGAGAGGAGGAAGAGAGAAAAGTAAGTAGGTAGGATCACACATGAACTTTCTTCTTTCCTGGTTAACTGCCAGATATCAGTGTTAATAACCCAGTGGCATTTTCAGTGAAGCAGGACCTGCTGCCTCAGGTGGAAGAGGAAGTAACTAGCTTTCCCCTAGGGAGCTGCCTGGGTTTTACACCACCTCTCTGTGTTCCCTTCTGTGTGGTTAGGCATCAACTTGAGCACTTGTTACATTCTGTCCAGCTCTGAGTGTGGCCACAGTTGATACTAATTAATGATACAGCATTTGGTTTCTTCACCAATTGGGATATATTTGTTTCATTTACAGAGACTCCATTTTGATCACCATTGGAGCTTCCTTTCTGCAGAATCAGGCATTTCCTGTGTTGATGACTTATCAGTACCTCCATGTAGATGTGGAGACACAAGTAATAATCGCCGCAGCCATACTAGCAGGGGTCTACATGCTGATTATTTTTGAGGTACATTTATATCTGCTTTGACCACAAGTAAAAAAAAAATTAACATACTGTTGTTGCTATTGTTCAAGCCAATATGCTCACTATGACTTACAGTGACCCTATGAAAAACAGATCTGAACTTTACCCTTTACTGCACCATTCTCATAATCTTGTATATGCTTGAGTCCATTGTTACAGTTGTCACAGTCACTGTGTCAGTCTATCAGGCAGTCTTCCTTTCCTTCTCTGGCTCTCCACCTTTCCCAGCATGATGCATTTTTCCAAGAATTGTCTTTTTCTGACAACATGACCAAAGTATGTGAGATCAAGTTTCACCATCCTTTCTTTTAAGGTACTCCTAGTTGTACTTCCTCCCATAGAGACTTATTTTTCTTTTTTTAGTCCATGACTGAGATATTCAAAGTTCTTTTCCAATACTACCATCAAAGGCATTAATTCTTATGTCATATTAGGCATTGGAAACTCTCAATTCTGGCTTCTTAGTCAAAGTGGTAAATATCCCTAGTGTGGGCAGAAATGGGACTATGTTATGAATCTTAGTAAGATGAGTTTCTAAAGCACAGGAAAAGTTGGCCTGAGAAAACTAAGAATGCACATTAGTCTCACCTTTTCTGGGAGTGTGACTTTCTTTTTACCCGTTTTAAGATTCAACTGTAAAGATGAGCCTGCTATTAGATCCGTGCCTGCCTTACTTTAAGGCATTTCTGATTGGAACTTTGACACTGTAAAGGCCACATGCCTGAGAAGATAGTTTATTTACTACTTTATCAAATGAGCTAATGGATATTTTCACAGATGGATTTTTATATCTTCTAAGTTTGCAGATTCTAGACAACTACAAGTGTGTCTGCAACTTAAATTATAAGAAGTATAGGATCTGCGGTGCTAGACACAGTGGATTTAATTGTGAAATAGCACTTTATGGTACCTGTATTAGGCTGAGTTCTCTAGAAAAGCAATATCAGTGAAGATGAAGGAGAAACTAACTCATAGCTGATCCTCCAGTGGCTTTCCAGAGACTGTAAATTTCATGGGAGGAGTTTATCCATCTTTTTCTGGAAAGCAGCTGCTGGATTTGAATGACCTGCCATTGAGCAGCCACTCCTTACTTACTAGGCCAGCAAAACACTTTTTTTCCCATTTATTATTAATTTCAATGAAAATTTACAGAGACTTTGGGTTTCCATTCATTCATCGTTGCAATTTTCTCCCCTCCCAACCCTCCCCCCTAGTACACTACCCTCTTGGAAAAGTAAAAGAAAAATTCTTTCATTGTTTTGCAATCCCTCCCCCCACGTCCACTCCACTATGCAGCCTTTGCTCTGCTCTGGACTCCTGTCATGACAAAAATTCCTAATCCCATATCCCTTTTAAACAGTTTTCTCCCTCATCTGTTTCAATGCAGTATACATTATTGAACCCATCTTTCTCAGTCTCCCCCCAACCCCGAGGTCAGTCCTGTTTTACAACAGTGGCACATGGAGTATTTGTCCTTTTGTGACTGAGATACTTCACTCAGCAGAATGTCCTCCAGGGTCATCCATTTGGAATAGTATTGCATGAGTTCCTTGTTTTTCAATGCAGCGTAGGATTCGATTGTGTGAATATACCACTGTTTCTCTATCCATTTGCTTGTTGATGGGCACTTAGGTTGTTTCCAACTCCTTGCTTTTGTGAACAAAGCCGTGATAAACATGGGTGTGCATATATCTGGTTGGGTGTCAGTTATGGTCTCTTTGTGGTATATTCCCAGTGGTGGAATTTCTGGGTCAAATGGTATCTCTATTTGCAACTTTTTGAGATAGTGCCATACCGCCTTCCACAGTGGTTGCACCATTTTACACTTCCACCAACAGTGAATAAGGGTTCCAGTTTCTCCACAACCTCACCAGCATTTGTTGCTTGTTGTTCTGTTAAATTTTGATATTCTGACTGGGGTGAGATGATATCTCATAGTTGTTTTGATTTGCATCTCTCTTAGAGCTAGGGATTTTGAACATTTCTTCATGGGTTTGTTAGCCATCTGAATGTCTTCTTTGGTGAAGTGTCTGTTCATATCCTGTGTCCATTTTTCAATTGGATTATTTACCTTTATCTTCTTGTGGTACTCAAGTATTTTATAAATTGTAGGTATAAGTAAGTTAATTATCTGATATGTCATTACCAAATACTTTTTCCCAGTCTGTGGCTTCTGAGGGGATACAATTTTTTTATAAATGATTTATTATGATAATTACACTGCTTTAGTAAGTTACTTAAATAATCTTTGAGTTTTATCCCTGCAGTGGTTTGACTTTGTTATATTAAAATATACCTTTAAAAGTGATTTTTCAAAATTTACTTAGATAAGAAAGCAAAGGCTGAAGTGATTTCTCTACAAGTATTAAAGGATGGAAAAGCTGATCTAGTGTCTCTGTACAAATATCCTTGGTTAGTACATCTGTGGTTGACTTGCTTTCCTAACAGAAATTTCAAAAACAGATAGATTTTTATGTTTCACTTTCTTCATGTTGTTGTTGTTGTTACTTTGTCTTATATATTTCACTACCATTTGAATAATAATTAAATGCAAAGATACTTTCATGTTTCAGTGTTGACATTGTACTCTTAATTTTATTAAGTATTTACCTGTGAACCTTTTTTTAAAAAATAACAATCTTAGCTACTTTAAAAAAAAAAGAAAGAAAGCTGCTTTCCTTTTTCTGAGCAGTTGAAAAAACCGTTGAAGGCTAGATAAAACAGGTTCTCTACAGAAGCATGTAGTAAATTGTCATTATTTTGAAAGTAGCTTTCTTTAGAAAGTAGACAAAAGGTGGTGGTGGTTGATGGTGGTGTTGGCATTAGCATGGGGTCTAGATCTTGAAATTAACCTGTAATGTGCTTGTATTCTTATAAGATATGGTAAAGAATGAAGATGTGCACATAATTTTATTTTGTTTAAAGGATTTTGTTTAAGTCCTTTGTTAATGAATTGAAGTTTTCCCTGAATTGTCTTTTTTTTTTTTTTCTCTTTCATTTTCCAGATCATCCACAGAACCCTGGCTGCCATGTTGGGTTCTCTCACAGCATTAGCAGCACTGGCCATGATTGGTGATGTAAGTTTCAAATAATCTCAGAAATTAGACTTAGTCTGATATTTCCTATTCTTTAAAATAATATTTCTACTTTTTCTTCCAGGAAATATGTTAGAGGTTTGAACTAACAAATTTTACCTCAATTAATATTTTTCACCTAATTTTGTTATAGTCTAGATGTAATTTCACATTTTACATGTAGGTCAGGAAAGGTTCATCAAGGCCATGCATCTGTCCAGACTCATGTAACTGAGTATTGACAGTACTAGACCTGGGTCATATTTTGTTAGGAGGTAGAAGAGGTTGAGATGAAGGTTAGGGCTGTATCCCTAGACCTCAGGAAGCCTTTAGAGAGTATGTATGGTGCTTGAGGATGAATAATTAGTAGGGTTGTGCTGGAGAAGAAGCTTGATGTTGTTGGAATAATTCTGGAGAAGAATTGAAGAAATTCTAAACATGATAGCACAGAAAAATAGATTTGAAAACAAGTATATGGAATTTTTTAGCACAGTGACTGCATCAATGGATTGAGTATGGTAGAGATCATGAAGGTGGTACATGATAGGACAAAGTTTTGATCTATTGTTCATAGGATTACTATGATTTGTAATTAACTTGATGACACCTAACCACAGCAACATCAACAGCAACAACATATGGAATGTAATGGTTTATTTTCTAACAGTTACTAAAGATGTCCAATAATAACCAATTTATTAAATAACAAGTTTAACAAATTTTGTATGTTTTAGGCTATTTATTATGTAGTTTTAAAAAAAAATTATAAGTGTAGCTCTAGCCTGAAAAGTAATAATAAGAACTTGAATTTTCTCCTGGCTAGTGTTGCACAGGAGTGCAACTGATTACTTTTGAAGAGGGATAGTAGAAAAGCTCATTATTATCAAGTAAGAATAAGGCCAGGTACCAAAAAGCTGCATGGTCCAAAGTAACTAGCAACAACACTAAAAAGAACTCAACACAATGATAGCAATAAAACCTCGCCTCTCAATAGTCACATTGAATGTGAATGGTTTAAATGCACCACTGAAGAGAAAAAGAGTAGGAGATTATAAAAAAATCAAAATCCATCTATATGTTGTCTACAAGAGACACAACTGGAAAATAAAGATAAAGAAAGACTAAAAAGAAAAGGGTGGGGAAAATATACCAAGCAAATGGCAACCAGAAAAAAAATGCAGGAGTAGCAATATTAATCTCTGATAAAATAAATATCAATGTAAAAACCATCACGGAAGATAAGGAAGGTCACTATTTAATGCTGAAAGGGTCAATAGAACAAGAGGACATAACAAAAATAAGTATCTATGCACCAAATGAAAGATCTGCAAAATACATAAAACAAACATTAACAAAACTGAAAAAGGAAATAGACAACACTACTATAGTACTTGGAGACTTCAATACAACCCTCTCAAGAAAAGATAGAACTACCAGAAAAAAACTCAACAGAGATACTGAAGAATTAAACCACTTGACGTCATAGATATGTATAGGCTAATGCGTCCCCCAAAAAGCACAGTGTACCTTCTTCTCCAATGTACATGGAATGTTCTCCAGAATAGATCACATTATAGGTCACAAGGCAAGCATCAATAAATTAAAAAACATAGAAATAATACAAAGCATCTTTTCAGACCATAGTGCTACAAAATTAGAAATTGATAATAAGAAGATAAAGGAGAAAAAAACATACATTTGGAAGCTTAACCACATCTTGCTTGAACATGACTGGGTACTAGAAGAAAAAAATGAAATTAAAAAGTTTGTTGAAACAAATGACAATGAAAATACTACTTACCAAAACCTCTGGGAAACAGCCACAGCAGTAATCAGAGGTCAGTTTATAGCAATAAGCAAACACATCAAATGGCAGGAAAAACTATTGACTCTCTAACTGGACACCTCCAGCAAATTGAAAAAGAATAGCAAGAAAACCCAACACCCTCTAAAAAAACCTGAAATTATAAAAATCAGAGCAGAAATAAAAGAAATAGAAAACAGAAAAACAATTGAAACTATCAATAAAACTAGGAGTTTGTTCTTTGGAAAGATTAATAAAATTGACAAACCACTAGCAAAACTCACAAAAGAAAAGGAGGAGAAGACACAAATAATCCGAATAAGAGATGAATCAGGCAACATCACAACAGAGCCAACTAAAATAAAAAAGCTAACAGAGTATTATGAAAAACTATACTCAAACAAGTATGAAAACCTAAAGGAAATGAACAAACACTTAGAAATGCACAACTTACCTAAACTGACACAAACCGAAATTGAACATCTGAACAGACCCATTAAAAAAGAAGAAATTGAAAAGGTAATATAACAACTCCCAACCAAAAAAAGCCCTGGACCAGATGGTTTTACAAGTGAATTTTTTCAAACATTCAGAGAAAAACTGGCACCAATTCTACACAAGCTATTTCAGGAAATAGAAAAAGATGGAATTCTCACAGACTCATTCTATGAAGCAAACATATCCTTGATACCAAAGCCAGGAAAGGACACCACCAAAATAGAAAACTATAGGCCAATATCTCTTATGAACATAGATACAAAAATCCTGAAAAAAATACTGGCCAATAGAATCCAATGATACATCAAAGAAATAATTCACCATGAACAAGTGGGATTCATAACAGGTATACAAGGATGGTTCAACATAAGGAAAACAATTAATGTAATTCATCACATTAACAAAGCAAAGAACAAGAACCGCAAGATCCTATCAATTGATGCAGAAAAGGCCTTTGACAAAATCCAACACCCTTTCTTGATTAAAACACACAATAAAATAGGATTAGAGGGAAATTTCTTCAACATTGTAAAAAGGTTTTATGCAAACCCAAGAGCCAACATTGTTCTCAATGGAGAGAGGCTAAAGGCATTCCCAGTAAGAACAGGAATTAGGCAAGGATGCCCACTATCACCTCTCTTATTTAATATTGTTTTGGAAGTCTTAGGGAAAGCAATAAGACAAGAGAAGGGGAAAAAAGGTATCCAAATTGGCAAAGAGGAGGTAAAATTATCTCTCTATGCAGATGATATGATAGTATACTTAGAAACCCCTAAAGACTCAACAAGAAAACTATTGGACACAGTGGACCAATTCAGCAAAGTAGCAGGATACAAGATCAACATACAAAAATCAGTTGGATTTCTCTACAGTGACAAAGAGAATATAGAGCCTGAACTAAGAAAAACAATACTATTCACAATAGCTAATCACAAGATTAAATACTTGGGAGTAAATTTAACCAGAAGCACAAAGAATCTCTTCAAAGAAAATGAGAAAGCATTACTGCAAGAAACAAAAAGAGACCTGGAGAAGTGGAAGTATATCCCTTGCTCATGGATAGGAAGACTCAATATTGTGAAAATGGCAATATTACCAAAGGCAATTTATACATTTAGTGCAATCCCAATACAAATACCAGTCCCATTCTTCAATGAGATGGAAAAGGCAATCTCCAGTTTCATTTGGAATGGAAAGAAGCCACAAATAAGCAAAGTACTCCTTAAAAATATAAGAAATGTAGGAAGCATCTCACTCCCTGATTTCAAATCCTACTACACTGCCGTGGTGGTTAAGACAGCATGGTACTGGTACAATGAGAGACATATAAATCATTGGTATAGAATTGAGAACCCAGAGATCAGACCATCTATCTATCTATGGTCAACTGATTTTTGACAAGGAGATGAAATCAGTTAAGTGGGGAAATGACAGCATTTTTAACAAATGGTGTTGGCAAAAGTGGGAAACTATCTGCAGAAGACTCAAGCAAGATCCACACATCACTCCATACACAAAACCAACTCTTTGTGGAGCATGGACCTGGGACTAAAACCAAGGACAATAAGCTTCATTAAAGAAAAGGTAGGAAGAATGCTAGAAGTCCTAATCCACAACATAAACAGTTTTCCAAGTATCCTGAAAAACCTACAACCAGGAGACGATAAAAAAGATGAATGGGATAAGACTCAAATCCCTATGTACATCCAAAAACTTTCCCAACAGGGTAAAAAGGGAAGCCACGGACTGGGAAAAACTATTTGGTAATGACATATCAGACAAGGAACTTATACCTATAATTTATAAAATACTTGAGCACCACAATAAGATAAAGGGAAATAATCCAATAGAAAAATGGGCGCAGGATATGAACAGACACTTCACCAAAGAAGACATTCAGATGGC